TGAGCCATATTTAAAAAAAAATATTTTGTACATCTCTCTCCAGACTCCATCCACCTGGCTCTTGACCTTATCATTATTCCATTTAAACGTTGATTATAAAGTAAATCTAATTCATTTTGTTTATTCTCAAAAATCCTGGAGGATAGAATCTGGAGGGGAGGGCAAATAGCTATCAATTTGGATATTAAGTTTCACGTTTCTTTAAGTATTCCGATAAATTCGTGATACTTATATAGTTGGGGTGGGCATCAAGGTCAAGAACAAGAGCAGGAAAAACCCGGCGTAAAACCCCCATAAGACCCCATCTCGTTTCCAAACTGGCAAAATCTCGGAATGATTCTGGCCTCCTTGTACACCTTTTTCGGAATAGGGGCTCGAAAAGGGGGTGTGATAGGGAATGAATATCAGTTTTTTTTTTTTTTTAGAAAACTGAAACATTTGAAATTTTTCGGTCTGGAACTTAAACTTTTGACATTTTTCTGCCCAAAAGGACACAAGTTACATCTCATGCACATGCCATCCAGTGGACAGCTGCACTGTACGGCTGCGAATCGGCCCATGTCCTGATTCGCACAGTCAGACGTGTCATTGATTTTGACGAAACTGCGGCGGAAACTCGGAGTTGTTTAACCACTGCATCGTCCAGGAGTACGAAGCCTAAAGTCACTACGGGGGTTTTCCGGAAAGGCGTGGTGAACGTGGCGTTCAGGTAAAGGTTGCGCTCTCCGGAACCGTAGAATAAACCTGCCCATGGAATTCCCAGCCAACCAGACTCGCCTTGGTCAAAAGGAGGAACAAAGGAAAGAAATCGTAGGCTGAAAGTTCATCTGTGTGTTGGTAGAAGTCATTATGAAACATGGCATTACAACCATCCCTCAACAGAGACGGGGACGCCACAAATTTCTGCAACCTATGCATGATCCACTGCTCATTGAGTCACGTACTAGTACTTAATAACGTGACGTCAGACTGCTCATTCCTTGACAAAGATTGGAGTACAGCGGAGAATGTTTTACAATTTAAACTTTCTTTTCCATGCATAAAGAAATTGCAGTTTCATGAAAAGAAAAAAAGGAGAAAAATAAGCCTTTTCATTTCCAAAACCAAACCTTAAAAAACATTTATTTACAATATTAACTAATGACCCCTTCAACAAACCCAACTCTGATCACTTCAAATTTAGAGTCTATAAGAGAAGTCTAATATTACTTACAGCGTTCGATGTACGGTCGCTGTTCCAAAGCCTGGATCTTCTGGTCTTTGGCCGTCATCTTGGTCTTAAGCTCCTGAATCTCTTCCTGGACCTTCTGGCCTTTGGCCGTCATCGTAGCCACAACGCTCTGGAGCTGTTGTATCACCTCCTCCAAGTTCTGAACTGGCTCTGTTGAGACGTCATGTGTGTTGTATGTTGCAACAAGAGTTTCACGACTTCATAACTTCGCCAAATAATGTTAACCCTTCTGGCGGACGAATGATACATTTTTACTCGATCATGCATTGATTTTTATGAATCATACCGGGTGATAATATTTCCACCCAATGACAGTCTTATCTTAACAAAGAAGGCTATAATAGCATTTACTCATGAATTATTCAAATGCGGTAATGCTTTGAATAAATGTTTTTGTTTAATGATATTTACAATCACTCGAATTGAAAGAAATTTTGTTGATTGGGTTTGGTTGGCACATTTTCTCCACACGCAGCGGGCAGACATATTAATACTAAGGTCACATTTTCAAACCGTGGCCCGGCCGGGCTGTTTGTATAAACGAAAAATATACAATTCTAGAAAGGTAGATACATATGACATAGTACTTATGATTGTTTTTTTTTAATTTCTTGTGTCTTGTTGTCTTTTATATCATACTTCTCGTTCCCACGGAAAAGGCCTGTTCAGGCCATAAATTGTAACCTTAGCATGAGGTAAATAAACAAGGTCGGTAACATCACAGTCAGCCTCACAAAGTTGTAATTACTGCACAGTGGTGCCAAATCAGACCATATCAATCCAGCAACCAACAGTATCATTCAGAACAGAAGTACAGCAAATGTGGTAGCAATAGGTATATCAGTCTCATTACCTTACCTGGCATCTTATTCTTGCCACCAAGACACCCCATGGCGGCAGTTTGGTTTCGGTCGTTGAAAGTATCTGACAGATGTGACGTGTCCTATACAAACACAAAAATTAAAAAAAAGTCACTCGACAAGGAAATACCAGAACAAAAGGGGGTATAAGACATCAGCTACCTTCTGTAATAACATTTCACAAAAAAAAGGATAAAACCTTCTTACGATTTAGCTGCGCTTACCTCTTCATTGATGAAGCAAGCCAAGGCGAGTCCCACAGCGATCAGACTCAGCACCACAGCTGAAGCGGCGGCAAGGCAGCTACGATGGGAGTGGATGAAACTTCGAGCCCTGCGCCAACCGCTTGCTTCACTATGATACGCGCGATCTGTAAAAAAATAACTTAAGATTATTATGAAGTTAACGTCAAGTTGTTAACATGATACCATAGGACTGAAATGTGAAGACCTGAAGAAGAATAACTTTTGTAGTATCTTATATAAAAAGAAAAAAAGATAAAGGTACAACGACGTGAGCTACCTGCAGACGTGTACGTTGCATGACGTTTCACCGCCTCGGCTTCTTCGTACGCGTCTGACGACGTTTCTACGCCGTCTTCTTGCTTGTCAGAAGCGGCCTTGCCGTAGCGAACACGCCCTGTTGAAGTGCTCAGGTGGACAGTAGGTTCCTGCTGGCCGGTTCGGCCACTGCCGGGCCCCGAGAGAGAGGACCGGACCGGCTCCGCTTGTTCATACATGTTTACTATACTGGCAGGTCGGTAGTCTGTATTGTTACAGTAAATGTAACAGTTGAAACCGGTCCTGTGACAGGCTGAATAAAAGTTCTAAACGGGAACTATGCGGCTCCAGGTGTCTTACTGAGGGATGACTGCGTGTGCAAGATGTCGGTTAGCTGAGGAATGAATCCCCTCGAATTCACATTGTTACAGTAAAATAGTTATGAATATTACTTCTCCTGTAGCGATTAGTCTAGCAAAAAAGGTTACCGTATTGCTTTGCCCTTATATGTAAAACTGGTGTGATATGATGTGTGTGAATGGTATTTCATTTCTAGAAGCGGCCGACTAGTTTTCTTAGTGAAAAAGTTGATCTGAAAGAGTTGATATCAAAGAAAACTTTTCAAACGTGAAAACTCGCAATATCATTTCTCTTTATGTTTATATGAATATTGCAAATAATAATAGCATTTTCTGAAGAAGAAAGCACACAATTCCCCTTTTATGGACAAACTGGCACCGCATGAAGTTTTATAAAAACATATTGTTTTTCTACGAGGTGCAGACCAATTTTCGGCATAAAGAAAATAATCTCAGCCGAGAGCCATATAAGTACAGGAATAGAAGTAAAGTTTTTAAATGTATACCCTTACAGTGTTTATTGTGTTTTCGTACCGCTCAGTGACGCTCACATACAAAATTCCAACATTATAGCTTGAGAGGTTGTAGTAAATGGTACAAAAGAAAGCAAGATGGCATTTCTCTCCAAATTATGAATGTGACAACAGCATTAATTTCATGTTGCGATGATGAAGCAAGTAATAAGTAACAAGTAAGCCGGCGTATTCCAAGAAAGAATTTGAAATGTGGGATATCCAAAATAATACGCCAGCTTTTAGTGAAGTCGCTAACTTCTGTTTCGTGCTCAGGAGGGGCCCTGGGTAAATAAGTCTAACGTTATATATATTAACTGTTATATATAGTATACAGTTCAAAATTGAAAGTTCACATGAATGTTAATGCATATCTCTATAACTCAGATACTTATTCTCATTTCTGAGTTCCAAACAGTTTTTTCACAGGTGCTAATTATAAGATAATGGCACCTCATAGAGGATGACCTGAACTGAACTGAAAGTAAGGGGTTGCTCATATGCTGGGTTGAATACAGAGTGGCCACCGGGGTCTTGTATGTACATTTTATGTTTTTCTTGATTTATGCTTTTGAAAAAGCTTCTTTTCCAACCTGGTATATACGACACATTTTTGTGTTTCTTGTTTAAAAGTGCGTTTCTTCTACGAAGAAAATGAAGTCAATATCCCCGAAAACTTGCCGATGACCTGTCCTTAGCTGAAACATGATCGGAGGGTACGGCGTGACACACACTGGGGCAAGTAAACAGTTCTGTTGTTCAGATTTGCCCCCCCCTCACTTTCCAGGGTTTACGTCTGGTACTAGGCCAGGGCTTACCGACGACAATTTGGTCGCCCTAGTAGCACAGTTCTAAAAAGGTTCCGTCACAAAATAAGGACAGCCCAAACAGTCATCTCTCAAATTTGGGGAGTGATTGGCAATTTAGCTTTTTGCCTGCTGATGTTTCCTGGCAGGAAACATAGGAAGAACTTTATTGGACGACAATTGTACAGGGTACATTCATGAGAGCCTATTCATGAGAGATTTTCAACTCCTCCCCAAATCGTCTGACTTCTTAACATCATTATGGTTTCATGGAGGTCTGAGATCTCCGAATTCTTGTCATTATTTGGATGTTAAACGTTTCCCTTGTGTTTTAACAGGGCTGGAAGCCATTTGAGCCGTCTGACATCAGCTGGAACCACTGGACGAAACTGTGTGTGCAGTACTGGTCGGGTGGCACTGGGTTTCCTATGTGGGATGATATTAACTGCAAATTAAAACGCAGGTTTATTTGTCAACAAGCACCCCGAGCTTTGTCTTATCAGTGAAAAGGAGAGGTGTAATGACAAATACATACATTTGAGTCAGACGTTTGCAAAACATTTTATCTCTGTTGTAAAGTGTGCAAAACGAAAAATAAATGTCATTTTCATCTCCCTAAACATGTCCGTCTGCCTTTCTTCTTTTTGTAGTTCCCTATTTCTAAGTCTCACTTCAGTGCGACAGTGTGTTAGGTGTCAAATGTTATATGTGCGTGGGGTCGTGTGGCGTAGCTGCAGAGTGCTCGACTCGGAACCAAGAGGTCCCGGGTTCGAGTCCTGACATACCACCGACCTTGTGCCCTTGGGAAAAAGGCACTTAACACGACTTTCCTCACTCAGGTGAAAATGAGCATTGTATTGTCCCCTATGTTTGTGGGGGCATTAACATAAGTTGAAAAAAAACTTGAGTGTGCCGTCACCACGTCTTGTGATTATATGTTGGAATAAAAAAAAAAACACAACAGTTCCTTTCCCTTCATGCCGTGTGTGTTATCGGCACGAAGGACAGATTATCCTTAGCAAAACACCCGCCTATTGAAGAGTAATATTTGTTCAAGCTGATGAAATCTCTAGTCGTGCGTCCTAATTAGACTGGCAGAGCCCCATGCGAGTTTGTGCTGGGATTAACAGTTGTTGTTCTACACCTGGGCAAATACGGCCAGGTAACGCTCTCAAAGGAATAACAAATGGAAATTGTGACGTTTTTTTTAGTAGAGTTAATGTGCAACCCGTTAAAGCCCCTGTCACACTTAGGCGGATATAAATAGCAGTATACTTTATTGACACAACAAAAGTACAGCGACGTTCGTAAGGTCTAAAACTACACGTAGACATACAGGCAAATACATGGCTACAACGAAATTAACCTTCATGTACGTACAAAACAATACATGAGTCAGCTAATACTACTGTAGAGGCTCCTCAATGTTACCCTCTATGTACAACTTTAAAACGATGCAATCACTCAGGTTTACATTGGAGATACCAAGCGCTTCTAGCTCTGCTTGACTGTTTCTAACAGTCAATTAGATATAGAAGTCCAAATACTACGTAAGTGTTAATGGGCCTAAATTCCCCTCCTAGCTCTGATTGGCGGATGTCTTTCCGCCAATGAGATATAGGAGCTTACCATGTAATCTTATCTTTCAAATAGCTCTGTAAGCATTCAATTTAACATTTAATGTCTTGGGGTGGTGGGACTACGGCGCACAGATATGTCAACTTTGTATATTTAAATGTCAATTGTACCTTTTTGTTGTGTGGCGCTGTTAATATAAGTTGTCAACTTGAGTGCAGCGCCACACTGTCCTTGTTATGTTTTTCTATGTTTTGATGAATAAATAAAAAAATACTACTTGTTATAAATATGGCCTGCCGAACACTACCCGCCATGGTTAGGAGTAGGTCGGGAGCAAAGTCGGCTGTAGTTGGCTGGTGAACATACGTACAGCGAGGTCGGCAACCGAATGTTTCAAACTGTTTAAGGTTCGGCCATGGTCGGCTGGTGATAAAAGTAACGCGAAGATTTTTTTCAATTAAAATATTTCAATTTTTTTGGTGCAAATCATATTGTTACATAATGTCCCTTTAACAGTGCCAGTGTCCCACCATCCATCGCGGGAATTGTGTTTCCGGCTAGGTGCCCGTTGTCACAGCGATCTCGCACCCCAGTGATTTTGTCCTCCCCGGGTCGAGATCTCTAGCGATTTCGCCCTCCCCGCTAGTCATTTGGTCCCCCCACCTCGCCACCCTTTAGCGATTTCACCCCACCACCACCAAAAAAAATCAGTTATTTCCTCGAAAACGTCCGTTTAAGCATGTCCAAGTAAACAAATTCGTTAAATAATTCTACTCATAGTATTTCGTTGTATTTGCGGAATCATGTTGGAAGTTAACACTCTCAAAACTATTTTATCAATGATCAGCGTTGTTGAGATGCCTATGCTGTTGAGCATAGAACGAGAGAATATTTCAACCAATGAGGTTAGTAAACTTTCTTGCTTCAACTGAACCTGTAATAATATCGTTAGAATTGATAATCAAATTTGTGTACCTGCCATACAGTACCTATGGTACGGTGTAAAAGAGTCGTTTAACTAAGGGGCGGGAGGGGGGGGGGCGAGATCTATGGAGGCGGGGCGAAATCGCTGGGGGCGAGATCGCTGTGACACCGGCAGTACGCCGATGTGTTTCCGGCCAGGTGCCGGCAGTACGCCGATGTGTTTCCGGCCAGGTGCCGGCAGTACGCCGGTGTGTTTCCGGCCAGGTGCCGGCAGTACGCCGATGTGTTTCCAGCCAGGTGTCGGCAGTACGCCGGTGTGTTTCCAGCCAGGTACCGGCAGTACGCCGATGTGTTTCCAGCCAGGTGCCGGCAGTACGCCGGTGTGTTTCCGGCCAGGTACCGGCAGTACGTATATACGCCGATGTGTTTCCAGCCAGGTGCCGGCAGTACGCCGGTGTGTTTCCGGCCAGGTACCGCAGTACGCTGATGTGTTTCCGGCCAGGTGCCGGCAGTACGCCGGTGTGTTTTCGGCCAGGTGCCGGCAGTACGCCGATGTGTTTTCGGCCAGGTGCCGGCAGTACGCCGATGTGTTTCCAGCCAGGTACGGCGGCAGTACGCCGATGTGTTTCCGGCCAGGTGCCGGCAGTACGCCGGTGTGTTTCCGGCCAGGTGCCGGCAGTACGCCGGTGTGTTTCCAGCCAGGTACGGCGGCAGTACGCCGGTGTGTTTTCGGCCAGGTGCCGGCAGTATGCCGATGTGTTTCCAGCCAGGTACGGCAACAGTACGCCGATGTGTTTTCGGCCAGGTGCCGGCAGTACGCCGATGTGTTTCCAGCCAGGTACGGCGGCAGTACGCCGATGTGTTTCCGGCCAGGTGCCGGCAGTACGCCGGTGTGTTTTCGGCCAGGTGCCGGCAGTACGCCGATGTGTTTCCAGCCAGGTACGGCGGCAGTACGCCGATGTGTTTCCAGCCAGGTACCGCGGCAGTACGCCGACGTGTTTCCGGCCAGGTGCCGGCAGTACGCCGGTGTTTGGGTTGCATCTTACGGCCTCCGTGTCAAGTGGCGTGTCTGTTACCGCTAAGTGCCTCACTAGTCCAACCTGCTGTCTGTCTCCATCAGCCCAGCAATGGGGAGGAAATACGCCGTGTTTTCATGATATTACAGTTACTGAAGCTGACGATAAATAATGAATGAATGACCTTTATTGTACGTTTAATATGCTCTTACAAACTAAGATCATGAATTAACTTACAGTAATATCTTACACACTTATATATTGAACTGCTACTTACATGTTCAACTTCTAGCTTCTTGAGGTAGTTGCAGATGTACGAACATATAGAGCTAAGGATATACATGGTTTGTCAGGTTTCAAACGGAATACGACATTTTCTGTTTTATCTAGAAGTCTAAAGCTAGGGACCTTTTCTATTATATAAGAGAGAATGCCTCTCATTTTTATATAATATATAATCAAATACCAAATGACACTCATTAATTTTGAAAGCCGAGAAAAACAATGTGTCACACTTTTTTTCTGCAATGACTGGATTCTGGAAGACTTAAGACACCCTATGCAATTTCTTGGCGGCAAAAGAAAATATCTTCATAAAGGAAATCTGTCTGATATGTATTGCCATTTCTTAACACATTTTTCAACATCATTTCATACTTAAAGCGACTGAAATAGCCCCCCAAAAAGCTACGTGATGCACCTATTTATTTTTGGGTACCGCCCATAAATAGCTGGAACCAGCTTACGATACAAAACAAGCAAGCGCCAATTCGCATTTTTGTCTCACCTACATCAGTATGCTATGGAATAGGATTGATTCAACTTACCAAATTAAAAGAATAACCAGAAAATTGACTGAAACTCCAGGTTTGCCGCCCTGAAATTGTATTGTATGTCTTGAACAGGTTTGTGATTTTTGTCAGTAAGGCCACAACAAGTAAATTTTATGGATGACATCCTCCGCAGACTCCAAATCTAATGCGAGCGGGCGTTAAAAAAACAAGGCGGGCCGTAAAAAAACAAGGTTCCTACATTCTCAAATTTTTGCTCAATCATTGTATAACTGGCTTTGATTCAGTGGAAACTTCATGTATACACAGCCAGCATCACATATCACTGCATCAAATTGAAAAACAAAACATTAAATCAGAGACTTTTCTTGTCTTCTCTCTTTATACTATTAGGTATCTGCCATCCACGTACTGACATGGCAACAGATATCTTTGCCCATTTTCGGCATGTTGACCACTGTCAGAAGGCAAAAAAAAATCTTGTTTATTTTTCTCAAATCAGGCAAAAATTAATGCGCGCGTGGATGTCATCCATAAAAATTAATTGCTGTGGCCTAAATGTGGATACACAGACAAACGCCTGCTGTGAAAGCAGAATGTCCCCACTCTGTTAAGAACCGTCCGTTTGCGCAGTGCACATAGCGTGTCGCCAGAACTCATTTGTCACTAAGGGTCCGGACGTGGTGTTTACTTGGTCGTTCGGTAGCCCGTTCAGTCTAACACAGAAAACCTGACGGCACGTCGGCGGTTTTAGCAGACCGCGAACTGGATTAATGTTAAATCCATGTCCCTGGGATTCACAGCTAACATGGGATATGTTGCCAACAAGCGATAATTTCAGGTGAGTTGTCAGAATTATTGTACCAGTAGTTATTCTACCAGTAGTATCGCTCATCACAGCAATACGCAACGTCGCCTTGGCCATATTTGTACACAACCTTCCTTTCATTCCGTAACCAAGTTGGTCTTTTACTGCCACAACAACTAGTTAAAATCCTGGCGGACTAAAACTAAGTACCAGCGACATAACCACATTGTGGGCTTACAGAAATTGTTCCTCGCAATTCGTCATGTAAATTAAACTACGTTCCAACGCAGCGACTGAAAACTGTTTGCCCATAGCCTTGCTCATAACATCACCGGTTCAAAATTCCACCATGCAGCATGGCGACACACCGCCGAACTTACCTTATGCCACTCTAATGTGGAGATTTTACAGTAGCTGACACGACAGCCCCAATGTGTATCAACTTCAGCCTTTAATACAGTACACGTAACACAAGACTATTTCTAATTAGTGGAGAAATAAATAGATAATAGTAAGGTAGTTGCATAGCCTTTTTGAGGCCGTAGGGGCCGTGGGTTGTTGGGCCATTGTGTCTAGGGTACTGTATTGGAAGGCGCAGTCCATCCCTCTCCTTCCACCACCTCTTATACCTCCCCAACCGAAGTCAGGTACTCATTTACACCTGGGTAGAGTGTCAAGTGTCATTCCCAAAAACCCAACGTCAGGAATTGAGCTTAGCTACTCGGGCATTTGACGCCACAACGATCTTATTAATCCCCAAAAATCTCCTTGTTGGCATAACGTTCCTGTACACAAATGCCTTGCGTTCAGATATAGAGCCAAAAACTTTGACGAAGAACAGTAACTTTCTAGTCACTGATTTTCCTTACACTGTCACCCCGAATGCCCGCATCGTATAGAAACATTCATGCCATTTAACAATACAACACGTTCATTCTGTACTGTAACTACAAATGGATAACTTTTGTACTTTTGTTCTACCTCATATCAGCTCATATATCGCTATAGCTGCAATGAACTCCACAACAGTTATTCTAGGGTCACCAGAGTTATTCTCTACTATCTGGTACTGACTTTATCAGGGTACCTTTCAACAAGCAATTGTTCAACAATTGAAATAAGTCTATCTGATAACGATCTAGAGAACCCATAGCTGTTTGCGTTTCCAACCAAACCGAGCAAATAAAGTTTGGCAACAACTGATCCCTGCCGCTATTTTGATTAGAAGCACATAGGAGTGTTTGGTTGTTGATGGTATGGTGCTTAGAATAAGGAACAAGCTTTTTCTCCCTCCTTCTCTTGCTTGCTCTCTCTCTCTCTTTCTCTATTTCTCTCTTTCTCTCCATTTCTTTCCCTCCCCCTCTCTCTCTCTCTCTGTCTCCCGCTTGCCCTCATTCCATGGCTATATCGCACCACTGTCACCCAAATAAGACCACAGCAATTAGATTTTATGGATGACATCCTCCACAGATTCCAAATCTAATGCGAGCGGGCAAAAAAACAAGGCGGGTCGAAAAAAACAAGGTTCCTACATTTGAAATTTTGACCCAGTCATTGTACAAACGGTTTTGATTCAGTAGGAACATCACATATACACAGCCAGCATCGCATATCACTGCATCAAAGTTAGATATAAAACATTAAATAAGAGCCTTTTCTTGTCTCCTCTCTTCATAGTTATCTACCATCCACCTTCTGGCATGACATCTTTGCCCATTTTTATTATGTTGACCACTGTGACAAGGCAACAAAATTTCTTCTTTTTATCTCAAAATTAGACGAAATTTAATGCGCGCGCTGGTGTCATCCATAAAATTACTTACAGGTATGAGTTAGGATGATCTAAGAACGATGTGAGAACTCTAGGCATTGTGTCACATCATCTGCCAACGCCAACTGAAGAGAAGATATTACTAGTATTTGTTCACCTGCAGGGGGGGGGGGCATCAGTCATATTTACTCTAACTTACAGTTTGGCCATTTTGATTTGATTATATGGATGACATCCACGCGCGCATGAAGTTTCGGCAGTTAAAAAAAAAGAGATTTCAACAATACTGTAAATCGTACAAAACAGTTACAAGATGAGCAAACATATACCGTAAGCTGCATAAAAAATTTTCAAAAATGATCCCAATGTCGTAGAATGCAAAATCGAACGAGGAAAATGTAAAGAAATTAATTTCAAGAGTAGATTGTTTGCCACATCGTACTCTGTGTCATTAGTTCAACCTTCATGACCACGTATTATAGTTCATATTGAAAGCAACTTTTTTTTCCAAACTTTTTTTATTCGCACGCTCGCAGAAGTTTTGGGGCTCCCAGAGGATGTCAACCATATAATCAAATCAACATGGCCTTAACGACAAGACGTCATCTCTCGGTTCTTTGTAGCAACTTTCTCCGGTCGGCTCTGGTCTTCAGTGAAGCGTTTCGAACATAAACCAGTGGTTGAGAAGCGAAAGGAAGTCGACACATTTCTGGTCATTGTGGATTATTATTTCTTCTAAAGTTAGGTATTTGGAGACGTCACTCGTTCAGAGTTACTCTGTCACCGTTGGACAAAACCGTTTCCACACAGTTCGCTTTGGTGTAAGATGCCATTTGGTTACTATGTCGCACGGACATTTTATGTTATATCACTATATTTCGACATCATACTTACCTTTCATGTGCAGTAGAAACGATGTGATATGATAGCGGTAGTACAGAAGGTAGCCGGCATGACTACATAACCGCATCCATTCGACGTAAGACATCATCAACTGTTTTATTGCAAGCTCATGCCCGAAGGCTAATTGCAAATACAACAACAACAACAACAACAACAATCAATACTTAACTAGACACAATAAATAAAAGCTACCGTAACTCCTAACAACTTCTGGGTTTGACTTCTCTTTTTGGAAACAGAGGAAGACAAAAGATTCCACTTTTTCTGTAATTTGTGGGATTTTTTTTATCATCATCAACACCGTCATTACCGATCATTATCACCCAAGGCCCAGGGTCTCGGTCTTATAACCTGGATCATGTTTATATTTGTCGCCACAGGAAACGATGAATGTCAATCAAAGCCCTGAAATGTAACCCGTGACACGAAGGACAAAGTTTCTATCGCGTCTTGCATCATTCTGTGACCTTGTCCTTGCAAAGACCATCCCTCCCTTCAGACCAGCCTGTGATGTGTACGTGACCTCTGTAAAGCCCCGCGACTGGGAACGACAAAACGATCATCGGTGCTTGACGCCGTGCGTAAGAGCGCCCCGTAACGTTACATGCACGGTCCCGCTCCACTGAGCCTGTATGCGCGCCCACCTGCCGTGTCAAGTTAGCCTCAACCAGGCCTTTCTACGGAAATACGGATCGTAGAATTCGGCAAAAAAGAGAGTAAAATTGGCAAAGGGAGTCCGGCCGCGGGGAGGTAGTTTCTTTCCCTCCGAAGCCAGTCAAACCCCAAGGCGGCCAAACTCCCCTGGCAAATATTCTCTTATATACAGTTGTATAGCCAACTTTCCACTGCAGTTAGTCTTTCCACAGACTAACTGCGCGGCCAGTCAACCCTACAAGGCGGCCAAACTTCCCTGGCAATTATTCTCCTATACATAGCCAGCGTAGTAAGTCTGGTAGAGACTAGTGTCAAGCCCCTGTCACACACTTAGAACATTCCCCTGACGACCAACCAACCAAGGACGGCTACGTTAGGGTGCAGTCTGGCCAGATTTAGGTCACTCCTACTGTTCTATACAAATCGAATCGAATTTTAGTTAACTTTGAGTCAAATTTGACCACCGAACACGCCCTGAATTACACGTCTGACCTACCAGCCAACCATAGCTGGCGTACATATGTACTCCTAACCATGGTTGGGGGGAGTTCGGCTATCTGTGACACAGAATTATTGTCCGAAATGTCGGCCTACCCACCACTCAATCTCGATCTCGATTCCCATCTGACTCCTCGCAAACCGAGCTGTGACTACTTCAGGAATGTATGGCAAACCTCCCCCAACCTTCACACGACAGGCAAGCAACCACAAACAAGATCCGTACAAGATGCTGTTACTCTCCAAGCAGAGGTAGGGTCGCTCGGTATTTTGGCAGTATTTTCGCGTTTTTAATACGTCTTTCTACTTTTACGGGTTTTTTTTGGTCTTCTAAAAA